CCGTTGGCACTTAACGCTATCGTACGTAGTCATTATATGGACGACTATTTAGACAGTTATGCAACGTTAGAGGAAGCGGTAAATACGGCGAGGGAGGTTACGGAAGTACACCAGAAGGCCGGTTTCACCTTGGCAGGCTGGAATTCTAATCACGCAGCCCTATTGGAAGACAAGCCGGAAGAACTACTGGCGCGCAAGCCTAAGGAAGTAGGCTTAAGGCAAGACAGCCCAGGCAGAACCCTAGGGTTGTTATGGATGGCCGACGAAGATGCCCTAACCTTCAACACCTCGATGAATAGGGTGCCGCAGGAATTAAAGGCGCTACAGCGACCACCGACCAAGAGGGAAGCATTAAGCGCAGTCATGTCTGTGTTTGACCCGCTCGGACTGTTAAGCTACCTCACCATCACCGCAAGATCCTGCTACAAGACCTATGGCGTATGAAGAAGGTCGGATGGGATGACGAACTACCCGAGGAGGCAGCGGAGGAATTTCAGAGGTGGCTGCGAGTTGTCGAGGAGGTGTCACGACTGCGACTGCCAAGGTGCTATGCTCCTACGGGGGAAGTGATAGAGCGTCAACTTTACGTATTTAACGACGCAAGCGAACGTGCGTACGCATCCGCAGCATATTGGCGAATACGATACAGCGACGGAACGGTTAGGGTGCGATTAGTGGCGGCCAAGGCGAAAGTCGCCCCGATCAAGGCGCAAAGTATACCGCGATTAGAGTTGCAGGCGAACTTAATAGGCGCGCGACTCGCGGAATTCGTGCAAGGCGAACACAGAGTGGTAGCGGATAGGGTCGTATATTGGACGGACTCTACTACGGCGCTCCACTGGATACAAAATGATACGGCGCGTTACACTCCATACGTGGCTCACCGGTTAGGGGGAGATAGCTGAGAAGACATCACCCAAGCAATGGAGGTGGATACCAACTACGGAAAACGTAGCAGATCAAGCAACACGCATGAATTTCGGACCCAAAGAAGAAAGCGATAAATGGTTCACAAGACCGCCCTTCCTTTACGAGAACGAAGACAGATGGCCTCACCGACAGGAAGAGTTGGCAGGGGATGATGAAGAGTTGGAGGAAATCGTGGCGCACCAGAGCGACACCAAGGACGCTCCACACCTGCTAGACAGAACGATTCTCATCCTACGAGAGGTCGGTCAGGACCAAGGGCGAAATGCTGCGGCGGCCCGTCAGGAGGATAGCCGTCCTCCCGAGAAGCTTAGGCTCGCAGGCTACGCCGGGGGGAGGATGTTACAGACGGCGAAGGAGGCCGCCGCCCCATCGCCCCTTCACACCCCGGTGCGCCCCGCGCACCCCGCACACCGGCAGAGGATCACGCGATGTCGCCGACCAATCAGCGCGCGGCATCGCCTTACGACGCTACTCACAAACCGAGACGCTCTCTTGCGGGATATAAGAAGGGCGTTTTGGTCTGTGAGGCGGTCATTTTCGGAAGCGGCACTCGAAGAGAAGAAATAGCAAGAGAAATCGAGAAGAATCAAGACTCCATAGAAGAGTGAAGACCCCTCTTTGTATATATAGTTGTATAGTTAATAGTGCCGCACTGTAAATAGTTTGAATACAGCATAGTTCTACAGTACCATCTTTTCTTTGAGCAGTCCCCTAGCGTAGTCAATCATACAGTCCACTTGCAATAGTAAATTAATACAGTCCACTTCAATCCCTTACGGAAAGATTTCATTGAAAATCGCTAATAATGTCTTGTATTATTAAGATAAACTTAACTGATCGCGTAATTATTTTATTACTGTCCAAGTTAATTTTACGCGAACTATTTCATTACGTAACACAAATTTTAATAAAATTGCTTTTAGTCTATTCAAGTGGATTGAAAGACAACTGATCGATGAGAACACATGAGTTTTCTTCGTAGTGTGCGACATTTTGTATCAATATAGATTTTTAAATCATTATAAAAACGCTAAGAGTTAAATGAGTTCGAGAAGGAAAAAAATACCTCTGTCCAAACGTCCATACATTATACGAGTATATAAATATAGCTTATGGATTTTCACGACTCGTTTACTATGGGAAAATAGGTGGGCCATTTCATGTGTGAGTGTGTGAGTGATAGTGTATAGTGTAGTTGAGTGAGTCAGTCGGTGAGTGAGTGAGTGAGTGAGTGAGTGAGTGAGTGAGTGAGTGAGTGAGTGAGTGAGTGGATAAATGAGTGAGTGAGTGGGTGGGTGAATGAATGATTGGGCGGGTGAGTGGGTCAATGTTTAATTGTCAATGAGTGAGTGCCAGAGAGTAAGTGCGTATAAATATGTGAATGTGCGAGTGAGTGTGAGAGTGTAAGTGTAAGTATAAATTAGCGAATAGGAGTGAGTGCATGTATGTAAGTGATTGTAGGAGAGTATGAGTTGGGGTGTGTCAGCGTGCGTGTGTGTGTGTGTGTATGTGTGTGTGTGTATTGGTGAGTCAGTCAGATTGAGTGTGACTGTGTGAGCCAGTTAGTGTGTGTGTGTGTGTGAGCGAGTGAGTGTGAGCGAGTGAGAGTGAGTGAGTGAGCGTGAGTGGGAGTGAGTGTCGTACGTGTGTTCACCCCGCCCGCGGCCGCCGATCGCCGCGCCGGCCGCCGCCCGCCGGCCGCCGCGCGCCGCACTCTTGCTGCCCACAAACAAGCGCGATTCGCTTTCCGTTCACCGCCTCTAGGGGGGACACTTGGCACAACACGATAGCAAACCGTAGACAAGGCAGTCCTCGTGATCGTGGCGTATTACTTCCATTTAATAAAAACAATTTTATATACGTATGCTGTGTAACATGGTGTCTTGTGTGTAGAGTGAAAAAAACGCGAAACTGTTTTGAATAAATAATTTAATTGATCTTCATTCGAAATGACCGTTCACATACTATAAATGCGAACAGAATAAACGAAATCTCCATACATCTCTTTAGATTAATCTAATTTCAAAAAACACAATGATGAAACTCTCTCGCCTATTTAAGATAAAGGACAAAATTGAATAATTGTCCATGTGTAAATCTGACAAAAAGTTGGTTTTTATGTATTATTATAAAGTAAAAATTTATATCGTAATCAACTTTATTCAAATTATTCATTTCTTTATTTTGTCAAATTACACACAGAAAACACTTGTCTTTGATATAGACTCATATTAAAATATATCCACAAAAATTTGGAACTCCATGTCCGATATAACATAATGTTTTTTTTTATAACATTTACACAAATTCTATTTGTTGAATACAAATTTTTATTGGCGATTTTATCACATTTAATATTAACTTTTGCATCATAAAATACTTTGCTAAAAATTATTTTTAGAAGAGACTATAATTATCATAGATAATTTAAAAAACTTAAATAAATTCAATTAATGTATTCATAACAATAAAAAAATATATTCGCATATAAAAGCACCATAATTCTCCAAATTCAAATAAAATTTCGCTTTGCAATAATATTCTAATTACAACTACTTTTTAAACTGCTACTTATAAAAAATAATGACAGTGGGATTAGAACCTACGTCTCTTTGTCCTTTGAGGGAAGCCGGTAAACACAAGTGCTGTTTCCATTTAGCTCAACTTAATTTTGTAGACAATGAAATAATTTCTGCTTGGTGTCATAAAAGGAAACTGAAACAGGAGATGGGCAGCAGCATCTTCCAGAGAACTCAATAAAAAATCTGCGGTTACCAACCGACCTACCAAGCGTGGCAACTATGGCAAATGTTCCTCCTATGAGACAACATATAAGGGGAAGCATATATTCAGCAGTGCACTTGTGTGAATGAATGGTGATGTAAGATGTCTACTAAAATAAAATGAACTGATAGATATGAAGCATCTATCCCATGTGGTGTCCCAGCAGAGTGAACAATGAATTTTATTACATACGACGTAAATGATAAAGCCATTCATGCAACTAAAGTTAAAGTTAAATAAGTTACAGCATATATACGTCCCACTTCTGGGTACAGGCCTCCTCTCATTCCTGAGAGGGTTTTAGGGCAAGTAAATGTCCGCCGCGCTGCCCCAATGTGTATTGGCAAACTTCACATGTCTTTGAAATTTTTTTTCTTATTTCTCAGGCATGCAGGTTTTTCTCACGATGTTTTCCTTCACCGCCGAGCACGTAGTAAATCAGCAGTTAAAATTGCAATTAACAATTTCATTCAATCGAACATGGGTTGCTCGAGTACTGTGAAATTTACAGCAAGCGTTAAACCATCTGAGCTACCACGGCTCAAGTGAAGTTTTCGACAAATTCCAAACTTTGTGCTCTCATTTACATATTAACTAAGCATGTTATATTCAAAGCTGTATCGCCTGACCCCCTGATTTATTTTTACTTCCTTTCTTAAATCCTGAGATTCTCCTCCTTAGTCCTCCTTTTCTGGTAGATGGAGTGATGAGTCTCATTCAGAAATCACACAGAGTCTTCTAAAGTGCAAGTGTGAAAAATTTAATAACTCAACCTATCCAGATGTCCAGGGTCCAGATTTTGTAATTTTCTTTTTGGGGCACAAATACTATAATATATTTTGAATAAGAGTCATTTTGGTCTATAAATATAAAATTTGTTAATAGCTTGACTACAGTGCAATTTATCGCATCCTAGCACAGTAAAATTTGAAATTAGCACATTGTAAACCATTGTCTGGATAAAACAAATATATTATGTTAATATGACCTCATTCGGTCTAATCATTATATATCTTACAAATTAATCATTCGCCAACTTCCGACGACTTAAAATAAAATAACTAAATTGTTTAAGTTGTTGTAAGCACTATTTCATTTTATAAATGTGAAAACTAAACGTTTATTTTTAGAAGCCAGTTATTAATGTTTAAACTAAAACATTGCAATATCGAGGATGGACCAAGACAAATTCTTACAGAAAACTTGTTCCTACCTTATAATATACTTCTAGAAGTTTAATCGCAAACAACATAATTGAGTGCGTCGTTCTAGTAGCCATCACTCACCTGCTCCTTCTTTCTTTCCTTCTCTTCTTTCTCCCTCTTGCGCACTTCCACGATATACTCGTTGAAGAACTTCTCCCGATCGCGTACCTTCTCGATGCCCTTGAAACGCTCGTCGCGGCCGTGTTTCGACGAGAAGTCCGAGAATGAGGACCTTAGGAAAAATAAAGTTGTTTTTAATATCTTTTTTCTTAATTTAATAATTTCATATATTTCTCTAAGCAAGCTAACTATGCTATAAAGAGGCATATGCTCGCAGTTTCTTTGCGTGATAGACTTCGTAATGAGGGAAACCGCAGTATGACCATAGTATCCGACATAGCCCAACGGAACGGATCCTTAAATTGAAGGGGCAATAGGCCGGCCTTATCGACAGCCAATGGGGAAAAAGAATAGACAGTGTGACGACGTAGTAAGACATGCAGGAAGTCGATGGATGCTGGTGGCACAAAACCTTGCTTTGGGGTATTTCTTGGGGAAATCAAAGGTTCAGACACCTTTTTAAAATTTTGTACAACCGACTTCAATATAAATTATTAAGGATAACTCAAAAACTATTGATCAGACCTTGATCAAATTTATATGGAAGATACGAGAAATACCAGATTTCAAATAAAAAAAGAATCATCGAAATCGGTTCAGCCACAGAAACTTATAAGGTAACACACAAAAAAAGAACATAAAGTCTTATTGAGTACCGTATCCTTTTCTACAGATTTCAAAAAGGAGGAGGTACTCAATTCGACTGTATGTTTTTTTATGTGTGTTACCTCATAACTTTACTGGGTGAACTGATTTCGATGATTCTTATTTTATTTAAAAGCTGGTGCTTCACATGTGATCCCATATAATTATTATAAATTTGATCAAGGTCTGACCAATAGTTTTTGAGATATTCTTAATAATTTGTATTGAAGTCAGCTGTACAAAATTTTTAATTTTTAATTATTGGAGTAGATAGAAAAGAGAAAAGAACTATTATTTCGTCTCCAGAGACGACGACCAACTGCAGATACAGTTCTTTAGAAAATTGGAGCGATTACCAATATAGGCTATCAAAATTCATTGCTGAACTTAGGCTGCACCATTGTTTGCCTCGTAGGGGTGTCGTATACTTCCCATATTTTTATTAACCTGTTATCAAATAGATGATGCTACTCAACTAATTCAATTCCCTCTGTCGCCTTGCTGTAAAGCACCCGAAACGTCGGGAATTAAAATAGTATAATTAAACGCGATAAAATCCGTAAAAAATAGTTTTATTCAAAGTTAAAGTGAATTAACAAAGTGTAATGGGGGCGTTAGGGAATATATAATTAACAGGGAGTTTTAAACGGGAACTTGAACGGTGGAGGATTGCTGCTCTTGTATTATTGTTTAAATAATGGTTGGAAGTGGATTTTGATATGTAGAAGTGGTGCGATTTTGTGTATTAAGTGTCTGCGCATGTGAATTATTAGTGGAAACGGTGAAACAAGTGCTTGATGGTGATGTGATTCTCAAGATAAGGTGTCTGTCTGTCTGCTGGCTCAAGTTGTCGTCACAAGCTCCTAAGGGCTGCAATGTGACGCATCAACATATTGTGAAGCAGTGTATTATGAAGAACAATAATTAATTATACATTGTAACTTCAGGCTAAGAACGGCTAAGAACGGCTAAAACCCAGAGCCGTAAAGCCAGTTATAAAAAAATATATAATTAACAGCTCTTATTGCTTTCAATAGATGGCAGTATAACCATTTCGTTGAAGCCGAAGCATCCACTTACCATCTGGTGGACTATGTGCTAGTTTGCAAATGTTACTCTATAATAAATTAAAATTTTTAAATACCCCCGAAACAAAACAAATAGAGCTGACGATCTTCAAACGGCTAAACAGATTTTCTTGAAACATAGCTAAGAACACTATCGATTAAGACACCTTTCAAACGAAAAGAATTTTAATCATTAGTTCAGGAGCTATGACGCCACAGACAGACACACATATAAACATTACAAACTTGTATGTGGTAAGAGCCATGCTGCAGCTATATTACTGGTATAGTTGTAGCACGAAATGGGTCGGCTTGACCGGGGAAGGACCACGCTCTCACAGAATACTAGCTTAAAATAGCAGCTTAACGCTGCTGTGTTTCGTATGATGAGTGTAGAGTACCGGAGACACTTTTTACTGGAAATGAGGCATTCCATCTTAGTCCTCACGGGTGACAACGCATCTGCATTTTGATTCGTAATCGAGGATAGATGTAGATGTCTATGGGCCACAGCAATCACTTACCATCAGGTGGACTGTGTGCTCGTTTGTCACCCTTATCCTATAAAAAAAAAACACGAACACAGGAAAAACCACAGGTTTAAAAAAACCGGCAACAATCAGCAGGGTGAAAAGTACTCACGTCTGGCACTGCGTCAATCCACTTGCTAAGCATTACGATTATTTATCTCCATACAAAGGGAGAGGCAGATCTCCAGTAGTGGACTTTTATGAGCTGATATAGAAGACTATATACTAACTTGGAGTGTAGTTTGGCCTCTTCCATGAGCTGCCTGAACTCATTCTTCTTCTGCTGCAGCCTTTTCTTCTTCTCCTTACGCTCTTCCTCTGCCCTCTCGCGGACGTATTTGTCGAACACCTGTCGATGATATATCGTGTAGTAAGTGACAATGTAGATTATCAACATTATTTAAAACTAGCTGTTTCCCGCGACTTCGCCCGCAAGGATTTTTTTTTCCGCCGAACCTTAAAATAAAAGTAGCTTAAGCAAGTGGGATGCGGGAAGAAAGAATGTGTAAGAACCTCCGAAGGAAGCGAAGTTATAGCCGAAATAAGAATTTTTAATTTTTTGGTATTTGGCCATTTTGACCCCCTAGGAGTGTAATGAGAACTTTTTGCCGCTATTCAACCATGACCCCATGATATCCTCTACATGATAGGTTATTTTAACTGACTATTCCTTATACCTATTATTAAAGTTCGAGCCACACCCCAACTCATCTCTAGTCTTTACTTCCAACTACTCCTTATAAGATCAGCTATCTGCCAGTGAAAGTCCCATCCAAATCGGTTCATAGGATTTTGCGTGAGGCGTGTTCGCGCCAAAATAGCTCGCAGATTACAGATTTTTTTAGACTTATTTAACATTTATCGTTATATTTTGGCCAATTTACATAATATCTTTATGAATTATTTTGTGTTGTTCTGATATATGAGCTATATTATTGTAAAGTTTCATTAAATCTAAAGCTGTAGCAAACCGTATGTATTCGGTACTGAGTAACGGGTGCGCCATCTAGTACCGAGTAACGAAATGTTACACACGAATCAATTTCGTTACTCGCATTTTTCGTAGTATGGGTAACTATACTGCTTCAATTCACGCAAGTACCGTTGATGCGTATATTGAAACATTTGCTGATCGTATGTTTTACGCATGCGCACGCTTATTCGGTGAATTTAAAAACGTACGTTATAAAGAGCGATGTTTGTTTATTAAGTAAACTATAATTTATTTAACAGTGGTAGACCCAGGCGGCAGCTTTTGCTGTCGCACGGATGGGCCGGCTCGAACCGGGGTGGTACCACGACCTCACAGAATACCAGCGTGAAGTGGAGGTTTACGTCTGCGTTTCGCTTGGTGTGTGCAGGTGGCCAGAGGCCCTTTTTACTGGAAATGAGGCATTCCATCCCAGTCCTCACGGGTGACAACGCATCTATATTTTGATTCGCAAACGAGGATAAATGTAGATGTCTATGGGCCACAGCAACCACTTACCATCAGGTGGACTGTGTGCTCGTTTGTCACCCTATCCTTTAAAAAAAAAAAATTTGGTAATTCGTTGTACAAGTTTTTTACTGTTTATTAAAGGTGTTGTGTGTGTAAAAGTTTTGTTTATATATAGATATGTTTTCTACAAATTATGAATGTTGTGTTAATACGACTTGATTCGATGCTCTAACATAACATATTATAAGGTATCAGTAGTAACGAGTAACGTAACGATACGATAGTAACGAGTAATAATTGTTATAGTAACGAATACATACGGGTACGCTTTTTTTCGTTACTTTTACACTTCTATTAAAATCCATTCAGTAGTTTTTGCGTGAAAGAGTAAGAAACGTTTATACATTCTCATAAAGAACAATGGCAGACTTTCATACATAAAATTAGTTGAGAAGAAATGGTAGCGTCTATATACCAAAAATATCTTAAAATGTTAAGCCTCAGTCCCTTCATAACTCTGTCATAGAATTTTGTACTGAGAAGGCGTCAAGAAAAAGATATTTACATTTGAACTTTTTAGATTATGTCCTATATCACTTGGAAAGTCATGCTTCCTGTGGATGTTTGATGTTAGCTTAATACATAATACATAATTGAGAGTTTTTAGATTATTGTATCTCCATTATATATTTGCATACTATAAATGTATATTTCTGGCATGGCTCCAGGTCTTTTGTATCATAGTGACATTCTCAGAAGGGCTAGAACCCAGAGCCGTAAAGCCAGTAAAAAAAACAGTGACAATTTATTTTAGCTAGTGTTGGTATAACATTAAATGGAATTGTTACATAGTACTATGATTGAGATAATGTATTATTGTAGGAAATTCTTTGTAAGAGCCTTATTCTCACTTTTATTTTTATCATTACTGATAGTACAGTTATTACTAATAGTAACTTAATATAAAAATATTTTGTGTGTTGTGTTGGTAGTATTAGAAAGTGTATACGAAAATAGTATAAATATACTAAATGCACGGACAAAAATACATATGAGAGAGATATAAATACAGCATTACATAATATAGTAAAATGGTTACAAAATAATAATCTGAAAATAAACTTAGTAAAAACAAAAATAATTCAATATTATACAAAGAATTGCACCAAAATTAATCTAGACATAAAATGTAATGATCAAGTAATCGAACAGGTAAAACACCATAAATTCTTAGGTGTTCTGGTAGACGAAGGTCTAAAATGGGACAGTCATATTGAATATACTTGTAATAGGTTAAATCGTTTCGTTTACGTATTACGTCGCCTAAGAGATACTGTATCTATGAATGCTGCAATAAATGCCTACCATGCATATATATCGTCGATACTCTCTTACGGAATAATTCTTTGGGGACAGTCTTGCGAGGTGCGGAAAGTATTTGTAGCACAAAAGAAATGTATCCGGGCCTTGTGCGGATTACATCAAAGGGACAGTTGCAAACCAATGTTCGGTAAATTACGTATCCTTACACTAACCTGCATATATATAAGAGAAGTATGTTTATTTGTTAAATACCACCCAGAATATTTTAAAAAGAAAGGAGAAGTAAATTCGCATATGTTAACGAGGTATCAAAATAAACTGCACTTTCCAACATGTAGAATAAATCAAGCAAAAAATAGTGTGATATTTATGACTATTACAATATATAATAAAATACCGGATAACTTTAAGAATCTCCCAGTAAATATATTCAAGAAGAAACTGACGAAATGGTTAATGGAGAAACAATTTTATGATATTCAAGAACTTATTACATTGCGGAATCTGTGAAGGAATTAGTGACGTTTAACAATAGTGACGCGAAGAATCTGTGTAGTGTTGGTGTAGTGTAATTTAATTAACTTATTTCCATTTAAATATTTGCACACCCAAATAGTGGGTAGAATGTATTAGCGCCTTAATATTGCAACAACACCTTTTTTGTAACTACATTCTTGTAAATAAATGAAATTTGAATTTGAATTTGAATTTGAATTTGGCAACATTTGAATAGAGTAAAATGATTTAAGTCATTTGATATTCCCAAAAATGTTTGTTTTTTTCTGTGGCTTTAATTAAAATACATTTTTATTTGAAAAATCATAGAAAAATAATAAAACTAATTTTATATATAACTTATTTCTAGACGCTATAATTTTTGTCAACTATTTTTCTGCCATTGCTCTTTTCACATTTTTAATATTAGTAGGATGTGGTAAGGCCATGCTGTAGCTACATTATGGTTGTAACACGCATGAATAAGCTTCACCGGGGAAGATATGTTGAGAATCAAATTTGCATTTTGATTCTTTTTATCAAGGATCTTTTTACTGGAAAAGAGATGATTTAAGATAAAGCATCTGCATTTTGATTTTCAAACGAGGATAGATGTAGATGTTTATGGGCCGCAGCAACCTCTTATCATCAGGTTGACTGTGTGCTCGCTTGTCACCCTTATCCTATAAAAAAAAGATTGATCTAGACGTTTATGGGCCACGTCATCTACTTGCAATCAGGTGATATGTGTACTCGATTGTCAATCTTAACCTAAGTCCATAAAAAAGCAAAGTTTAGTTAGCAGAGTACGGTGAACAAGCGGACACTGACCTGTTTCCTCTCTTCGGAGGTGAGCAGCAGGTAGCGGCTGTCGAAGACGATCTTGTACAGCTCCTCCCAGGGGCTGAAGGTGGACACCTCGCTCTCGTGCAGCACCTGCAGGAAGCTGCGCATGGGCTGCTCGGAGGGCAGCAGCGCGCGCTCGCGGGCCGCGCGGATCTCCGCCTCCACGGCCGCCTCCTTGCCCGCGTCGATCAGCGAGCCGCCCGAGCCCCCCGCCCCCACCGGCCCCTTCTTGCTCGCGGCTGCGGGACATCGCACAACTGTTAATATTGCAGTTTTGGCGGGAACTTGACCGCCGACGGAATGCTGCTCCTGTATTCCGTTCCGTTACAGCTTATAAAAGTCCACTGTTGAACATGGGCCTCTCCCACATATTTTGCCGTAGTTACCATGATTGGCAAGCAGGCAGAAGTATAATATAATGGATAAGTTCTTATTACTTGATACGGCGAAAGTACAATCCTACGAGTCCATTAGCAGCGAAAGAAAAAAAGAATGATTAATATTCCAACTCAAAACAATCAGGCCACAGTATTAATCAGTATAAACTTGTAATCCATTTGATCCTGAGTTCGAATCTCGACTCAAGCAAAAACCAGCTACTGAATTTTCTGTCTAAAAATTTTCAATAGCAACCCAGAATCAGAAAGTTGGCAATATTTCACCCCCGTGCATTGGAGAGCACTTGAAGCTGAGTCCTCTGCTCGATCTCCTTAGGTCGTGTCGGATTACCGTACCATCAGACTATTAAAGTGAGTGAATAATGCACCTATGCTTGCACACATATATGCAATATAATCTTGTCCTACATAGATAACTCCATTAAAACTGATCACAAATTCAATCCAAACAACATTATTATTAATCTATACATACAAATAAATAAAATTAAAGTGTCTATTTGTAACGTCAAAATAACAGCTTTTCACTAAATGCATATGAAAGTATATATCGTACTTATAACAAAAACGCTATTTTTAAAAATTTTGTCTGCCTGTCTGTCCGTCTGTCTGACAGACAGCTTATATCATAAAGAGTAACTTAGGCTACTTTTCTTTTAGAAAAAGAATTATGGTTCCGCGCAAAAAAATAAAAACCTAAATTACACGCGGGAAAAGTCGCGGGGAACAGGTAGTATCATAATCATAAACACCAGTTTAGAATACATTTAAAAAAATTTAAACCAATAAGTACTACTTAGAATTATAAATTCTAGAAAAAAAAAAAACACTAGTTTAAAGAGACTGCTTTTTCTACCTACAATAACAAAACTCCTTTTCTGCCTAGAAATCTACTGGGTAAGTACTACCCTCTTATGTATTTCTGCAGCCAAATGACTGTGCCTGGCAGTGTGTTCCAGCCTGAAGAGTATAGAGCCAGTATAATTGCCGGCGGTGAGGTATTCCGTCTAGTACACCACACACATTCAATAGATGAAAACCTTCTTATCAGGTATCTTTATAGTCTTCAGTAATCAGCTACCATTTGGTGAAGTGAAAATTTGTTTTGTTTTAACTAGACTTGCAACGAATATTCGACTATTATTTGATATTCGACCTATTCGGCTAGTCTTATCCTATTCGGTCGGATACCGAATATCTAGGTAGTCGGCCGAATACCGAATATTTAAGTAAGAGGTTTTATTGTGGTCAGATAATTGGTAAAATGAAAATGTTTCTTTTTGCAGACAATCCCAGCTTCAGAGAGCAGATAGAGCATCTCATCAGGCTCGGGCTCTGCTCTGGCTGATGCGAGAACAGGCGAAAAAACACTACTCCCCTTCCCGGCCGAATACTTTGGCTAATATTCGGCTATACGACCAGAAAGTCCACAGAATATTCAGTATTCGGTGTGCGGCCGAATATAGTATTCGTTGCAAGTCTAGTTTTAACCCTATATCTGTGTAAGCCCTAGATATATTTATTTTAATCACTCACTGTCATCAGACTTCGCCTTCTTGGCGGGTTCATGATTTGAGTGGTCGCTGTCAGAGTCTGCGGACCTCTTTAGCTCGCCGTTGCCTGTTGCGTTAGCTGTGTTGTTGCCAGTAGCAGCCGGAGGGTTGTCTTTGCGCTGAAATAATACAAATTCTATATTTTTCTGCTTAATCAATCAATCAATCAATATAATATTCTTTATTGTACACCAATACACATTAGAACGAAATAAATATATACAAGGTACAATAGGCTATCTATTATCTGACCACAATAAAACTTCTTACTTAAGTATTCGGTATTCGGCCGACTACCTAGATATTCGGTATTCGACCGAATAGGATAAGACTAGCCGAATAGGCCGAATACCAAATAATAGCCGAATATTCGTTGCAAGTCTAGTTAAAACAAAACAAATTTTCACTTCACCAAATGGTAGCTGATTAGTGAAGACTATAAAGATACCTGCGGCCAACTTCAAAGAAGGTTTTCATCTATTGAATGTGTGTGGTGTACTAGAACGGAATACCTCACCGCCGGCAATTATACTAGCTCTATACTCTTCAGGCTGGAACACACTGCCAGGCACAGTCATTTGGCTGCAGAAATAGATAAGAGGGTAGTACTTACCCAGTACATTTCTAGGCAGAAAAGGAGTCCTGTTATTGTAGGTAGAAAAAGCAGTCTATTTAAACTAGTGTTTTTTTTTTTCTAGAATTTATAATTCTAAGTAGTACTTATTGGTTTAAATTTTTTTTAATGTATTCTAAACTGGTGTTTATGATTATGATACTAACTGTTCCCCGCGACTTCTCCCGCGTGTAATTTAGGTTTTTATTTTTTTGTTAATTTAATAGTATTAATTATTATTAATAACAGTGTAAGTGAGCCCATCGCCCCATTTACTATTCCGGGTGTGAACTGTTTGAGAGTTTTAGGTCTGGCGTAAACGATATGGTTACATCACCCACTCAGTTTTATTGGAAGATATGTTTTTTTCTTAATTTATTTCAATAAAGTACAGTTTTTTGGTTGTGTTCAGACTATGTCATACTTAAATTTTACTACAATATACATAATTAACATTTTTTTATAGAATAAGGGTGACAAACGAACACAGTCCTCCTGATAGTAATTGGATACTGTGGCTCATAGCTCTTTTAGTTATAGCTGCAATAATCACTAAAATTCTAATAATCTTTATTGAATAATCATTATTTAAACAATTTAAATAATGATTTCTTATATTTACGCGAACACTACACATTGAATAAAACTATTTTTACGGATTTTATCGCGTTTAATTAACTTATTTTATATTCCCGACGTTTCGGTTGCTTTCCAGCAACCGTGGTCACGGGGGACTGAGGTGATTGACGTCCCGATGTCAAAGTTAACCCGGAGTACCTTCAGCTTTTTAATTATTAATTTTGGTCCGATCTACGCAGAATGAACTAACTGTGTCTTGAAGTCTTACAGTGGTATGCTTGGGTTTAGTTTTAATTTTATGAATTACAGGATCCCAAGCAGGTGGTAGTACCCAGCCTCCCTCTCTATTGAAATTAGGATGTTTTTTAATTTCAATAGCCTCACGTATCATCCTTGGCAGGAATCGATGTTCTTTCGTGAGGACTTGTGGTTTATCAAATCTAATGTAATGACGGGGGCCGTCTAGGATATGATCACAAACTGCAGACTTCCCGGAACGTTGGTGCTTCACGTCAGCTATGTGTTCTTTTACGCGGGTTTTTATTGATCGTTTTGTTTGCCCTATATATGAGAGACCACCGCCTGCTGTACTACCATATGTCAGAGGTGTCACAGACAAGATTGGCTACATCTTGAAGCGAGCTTCTATTAGAACATTCTTCAAGCCGCCGAAGAAGATTAGTCAGTTCTTACCATCCGTCAAGTGCAATATTCCTCTACAAGATGCAGGAGTATACAAGCTTGATTGTGAGTGTGGTCTCTCATATATAGGGCAAACAAAACGATCAATAAAAACCCGCGTAAAAGAACACATAGCTGACGTGAAGCACCAACGTTCCGGGAAGTCTGCAGTTTGTGATCATATCCTAGACGGCCCCCGTCATTACATTAGATTTGATAAACCACCACGAAAGAACTCACGAAAGAACATCGATTCCTGCCAAGGATGATACGTGAGGCTATTGAAATTAAAAAACATCCTAATTTCAATAGAGAGGGAGGCTGGGTACTACCACCTGCTTGGGATCCTGTAATTCATAAAATTAAAACTAAACCCAAGCATACCACTGTAAGACTTCAAGACACAGTTAGTTCATTCTGCGTAGATCGGACCAAAATTAATAATTAAAAAGCTGAAGGTACTCCGGGTTAACTTTGACATCGGGACGTCAATCACCTCAGTCCCCCGTGACCACGGTTGCTGGAAAGCAACCGAAACGTCGGGAATATAAAATAAGTTAATTAAACGCGATAAAATCCGTAAAAATAGTTTTATTCAATTTAAATAAAATATATAATTTCAACTCCCATAATTCATTATTCAAAAAATTACTATTAAAATTATTACATCAGACATCTACATTTATTCTTAAGAATCAAAATGCAGATGCGTTGCCCCCCTTGAAGACTGAGATGCAATGCTTCGTTTCCAGTAAAAAGGGTCTCCGGTTCTCTACACTCACCATAAGAAACAGTAGGATTAAGCTGCTATTTTACGCTGGTATTCTGTGAGAGCGTGGTCCTCCTACCCCGGTCGAGCAGACCCATAAAATTAATTACATTATAAGGAACCATGTTAAAATTGTGTAACAGAATATTTTACTGTTTTATGACATATACATTATTGTATCACAAATTTTTAATATTTCTTATCCACTTAACCGTCCACGCCGCGCGAGTGATTCTCGCCTGACCTGTCCGCGCATTAAATGTCACTAATTTTTACGACCGCGGGAGACTGTCTGTGATTACACTGTACTGTGATAGCTACATTCAAATGAAAAATATTTTCAAAAGACTCAAAGAATTCAAAATTTAATTTTGTTAAAAGAAAATTAGTCCAAATTAAAAATAAAGGCTGAAAATAAAGCTTAAAAATGGGAATATGAAAAAAATCGTATTTGTTTTTTATTTCGAGTTTTACAAGTAAAGTATAATACTTACTGGAGGCAATTATTTTATATTATAATATTGCATGATATTCCCTTTAAAATGACACCAATGTCAATAATATCTTATGTACTCAATATACATAAGTATATAATGTTTACCCAATATAAATTTGAATAAATAAGTAAATCTATACAAATAAATAAAATTGAAGTGTCTGTTTGTAATGTCAAAATTACAACTTTTTACTAATTGCATATGAAAGTATATACGGTACTTATAACAAAAACACAATTTTTAAAATTTTTGTCTGTCTGTCTGTTTGTTCCGGCTAATCTCCGAAACGGCTGGACCGATTTTGACAGGAGTTTCACTGGCAGGTAGCTAATTTCATAAGGAGTAACTTAGGCTACTTTTATTTTAGAAAAATAATTAGGGTTCCGCGCAAAAACATAAAAACATAAAAAGTCGTGGGGAACAGCTAGTAAATAAATAAAAATAAGTTTTAATAATTTCTAGACACATCTCAACAGATATTTCGTTTACAAATTGCTATCAACGTGTTAATAGTGAATCATTCTTTTATATTTAGCATTCATTTAACACAAAAAACTGATTAGAATAAATTTTAAACAACATACAATCAATAAATGATGATCGCGTATAGTGATTAAAATTTAGAGCTAAATTATTATATGCAAACGTTTTGGAATGGTCGTAATGATACATATTTACTAAAGAAAATATCTTCACAATTAGTTTGATGTACAATAACATTAGAAATAACGTATAAGAACAGAAAAATTATCACATTTTTGATCGAATTTCTCACACGTTAACATTCCACAAACAAAAATGGCGCAATTTAATTTTAACTTTTTTTTCTAAATATTTTGTTACTATTATACAGATAAAATTCACTTTCACAGATGACAAATTTCATATAGCACCATCTATAATTTTTTACTGTATTAATAACAGCTATCTTTTGCGCTGTTTAAACCGAAAGATGTCGTTTGGTGACTAGACAGGTCAGGCAATAATTGTTTTTGGGGACTGTAGTCACCGTGGACGGTTGAGTGGTTATGTATACTTTTTTTGTGAATAGGGCAATTATAATATTGTTCACGAATAATGTTTTTTTTTTAAGAATACGGCTGTCAAATGAGCATACAGTCCACTCGATGGTAAGTGGATGCTGCAGCTCATTGACATCTATAATTATCTTTGAGTAAGAATCAAACTACCAAGTTAACAGTGGTAGAGCCAAACGGTAGCTTTTGCTGTCGCACGAATGGGCCAGCTCGAACCGGATTGGTACCACGACCTCACAGAATACCAGCGTGAAGTAGAGGTTTACCTCTGCGTTGCGCTTGGTGAGTGCAGGTGGCCGGAGGCCCAATTCCCCCCCCCCCCCCCCCATCAACATGGTAGTAGAATTAAATAAAAGACTACCCCAGGAGAGTACCAGCACCCCTGGAGAATTCCTCGCTGAGCATCCACGACCAAACTACTTGACTCCTGAGCGTGGGTGCTCCCGTGAATTTTTGCAACATCAGGGGACTTCATTCCAACCTTAACGCTGTCCATTACCATCTAGAGACGGCGAAGCCGGCCTTGCTTTTTTTAACCGAGACTCAGGTGTCCTCTCCGGCTGATACTTCATATCTATCCTACCCGGGGTACAAATTGGAACACTCCTTTGTGCCTCGGGCTGGAGTTTGCGTATACGTCAGAGAGGACATCTGTTTTCGACGCCTCGGCAGTCTTGAAGGTACGGACCTGTCCATCCTATGGCTGCGCGTAGACAGCGACGACCATCCCCGCGTCTACGGGTGCCTCTATAGGTCCCATAGCGGTAATGCCGACACAGACCGACTAATCGACCACGTCCAAATGGCTGCAGACTCCGTGCTACAACAGGTCCCATCCGCAGAGATCGTGATACTCGGTGATTTCAATGCCCACCACGCTGAATGGCTTGGTTCTCGTTTAACCGATCATGCGGGTACATCTGTCTATGACTTTGCTTTGGCATATGGTCTAACACAACTGGTTACTTCGCCTACGCGGATTCCAGATGTGGAGGACCATGTACCTTCCCTGTTGGACCTTCTGCTGACCTCGCATCCGGACGGATATCAGGTCTCCGTCGATGCCCCTCTGGGCTCTTCTGACCATTGTCTGATCCGGAGTATGGTGCCACTCACGCTCCAATCGCATTTGCGATCTGCAACTTGCCGCCGTGTTTGGCACTATAGGTTATATATTATATAGGTATAGCTGATTGGGACGGGATGCGGTCTTTTTTTGCATCCTACCCTTGGGCGGGTTTGCTTCTCGCCGAAAGATCCCAGCGTTGTTGCCGATTCTGTTGCTGATGTGGTACTTCAGGGTATGGAACTTTTTATTCCATCCTCTGTGGTGCCCATCGGAGGCAGATCCCAGCCATGGTTTGGTCGCTCCTGTAAAATAGCATCACGCTATAAGCAGGAGTGCTACCGAGCCTGGGCTGACACATCAACATCTCGGGATGTAAACACCAGCGCACTTAAAAAGTAGTATAATTCCGCCTCCAGGTCCTTCAAAAGCGTCATTGCCAAGGCAAGGTCTGAGCACATCGGCAGAATTGGCGAGAAGCTAGTTAGCATTCCTTCGGAAACCCGTGCATTCTGGTCTCTCGCCAAGGCTGTCCAAGGGAACTTCTGTTAGCTATCTCTTCCATTTCTGCACAGAGAGGACGACTCACTGGCCCATGCCGCAAAGGAGAACGCCGATCTGTTGAGCTCTCTTTTTGCGTCCAACTCGACTCTAGATGACGGGGGGAACACACCGCCGACCATCCCGCGGTGTGAGTGCTCCATGTGCTGTTCTCACAGCGCTCGGTTCGCAGAGCACTCCTCTACCTGGACATCCACAAGTCGAGTGGGCCTGACGGAATCCCCCCAACTGTGCTGCGACGTGTGCTCCGGAGTTGGAACCGCGCGTATTTTTCCGGTACTCCTACTCCCTAGGCGTAGTCCCAAAATCATGGAAGACAGCTTTGTCCACCCGATCCCTAAAAAAGGCGACCGCACAGACCCGTCCAACTACAGGCCTATCGCCATGATCCCCTTGTTCTCCAAAATAATGGAATCCGTTATAAACTGCCAGCTCATGCGGTACCTTGAGGATCACCAGCTGATTAGTGACCGTCAATACGGTTTTCGTCGGGGTCGATCAGCTGGTGATCTTCTAGTCTATCTGACTCATAGATGGGCGGAGGCAGTAGAGTCCAAGGGGGAGGCATTGGCCGTTAGTTTGGACATAGCGAAAGCCTTCGATCGGGTCTGGCACAAAGCGCTTCTTTCGAAGCTTCCTTCCTATGGGCTTCCCGAGAAATTGTGCAAATGGATCACCAGTTTCCTTGCTGATCGGAGCATCAAGGTCGTAGTAGACGGTGCATGCTCTGATTTTAAGCCTATCAACGCTGGTGTTCCACAAGGCTGCGTGCTATCACCAACGCTGTTTCTCCTGCATATCAATGATATGTTGCTAACTGGTAGCATTCATTGCTATGCGGACGACAGCACTGGTGATGCCTTATATACCGGCCGTGCCAATATTTCTCGGGAAAATGTCGCCGAGTACCGGGACAAACTTGTGTCTAAAGTCGAGTCTTTGCTTAACAAAGTCTCGGATTGGGGCCGACTAAATCTAGTCCAGTTCAATCCCCAGAAGACACAAGTTTGCACGTTTACCGCTAAAAAGAACCCCTTTGTCGTATCTCCTCAGTTTCAAGGCACTCCTCTTGCTGCCTCAGTCAGTATCGGTCACTTGGAAGGGAAGGCCAAATTGGCCTCTAAAAAGCTTGGCGTGCTCAGCAGAGCGGGACAGTATTTCATGCCGGCACATCGCTTGCAACTCTACAAAGCGCAAGTTCAGCCTCACATGGAATACTGTTCTCATCTCTGGGCCGGGGCACCCCAGTGCCAGCTCCTTCCACTTGACCGCATCCAGCGCAGAGCGATTCGAATCGTCGACGACAGAGTTCTTTCTGATCGGCTCGATACACTGGCACTGCGTAGAGATGTTGCATCTCTTTGCGTATTTTATCGCATCTATCACGGGGAGTGCTCTGAGGAATTGTTCGGACTAATTCCAGCCGCTCAATTTCACCATCGCACATCGCGACAAAACTCGCGTTACCATCCATACCATCTGGATGATTGGCGGTCCACCACTGTGCGATTTAGAAGTTTTCTCCCTCGCACAACTTCCTTGTGGAATCAATTACCACCAGCGAATTTTCCGGACCGATACGACTTAGGAACCTTCAAAAAAAGAGCTTGCACCTTTCTAAAAGGCCAGCAACCTGTTCCTGCTTCTCTACCCTCGCAATACGAAACCCAGAAGCAAGTTGGTATTTTACGCTGGTGTTGTGAGAGCGTAGTCCTTCCCCGGTCCTAAATAGCTGCAGCATAGCTCCACCACATGTAAGATGTAGAAATAAAATATTGAAATGAGTTACATATATCTTTTTAGCACTTGTCATAGCCGCCTTTTACTCAGGGGAGGGACAGAGTGAGAATGAAAGAGGGTGAGTCCACCAACCAACCAGCTGCGGCGGCCGCTACCACACCGGCGAATTGTACAAGATAGACAGAGATGATGAGAGAGAGAGAGAGAGAGAGAGAGAGAGAGAGCGAGAGAGAGAGCGAGAGAGAGAGCGAGAGAGAGAGCGAGAGAGAGAGCGAGAGAGAGAGCGAGAGAGAGAGAGAGTAAGAAAACGAGTGAGAGAGAGAGAGAGAGAGTATACCTGCAGCTCCAGCGGCGGCTGGTTGACGGCTTTGTCGATGTCAGCGCGGCCCATCAGCTGCGGCGGCCGCTTCCAGAGCGACGAGTTATACATGATAGACAGTGAGAGGATAAGACAGAGAGAGAGGATAAGAGAGATAGATAGAGTACACCTGCAGCTCCAGCGGCGGCTGGCTGACGGCACTGTCGACTTCGGCGCGGCCTACCAGCTGCGGCGGCCGCTCCCACACCGACGAGTTGTACAAGATAGATAGAGAGAGGATAAGAGAGAGAGAGAGAGAGAGAGAAAGAGGGAGAGGGAGAGAGAGAGAGAGAGAGAGAGTACCTGCAGCTCCAGCGGCGGCTGGCTGACAGCCTTGTCAACGTCGGCGCGGCCCACCAGCTGTGGCGGCCGCTCCCACACCGACGAGTTAGTCGTTGGGTTGTAGAAGAACACGCGCCCGTCGCCGGTCCACACCACGCACCTACACAACCCAACAAAAGACTTAATTAATTTATCTATAATAAATGTAAATTACCTTAATTTTTTTTTATATAGGATAAGGGTGACAAACGAGCACACAATCCACACGAGCCCATAGACATCTACATCTATCTTCGATTAAGAGTCAAAATGCAGATGCGTTGTCACCCGTGAGGACTAAGATGGAATGCCTCGTTTCCAGTAAAAAGGGTCTCCGGTTCTCTACACTCGCTATACGAAACACAGCAGTTTTAAGCTGCTATTTTACGCTGGTATTCTGTGAGAGCGTGGTCCTTCCCCGGTCGAGCCGACCCATTTGTGCTACAACCATAATATAGATGCAGCATGGCTCTACCACGTATAAAATTAAAATTAGAAAAAAAATAACCCCACAAAAAATAAAGGGGGGTAAATTATATCGCGGCGTGAGCGACCATTGGGTAAAAATGCCGCCGTACGTTCAAAGACACAGTCCCCGAAGACAGTGTAAATTAAAAAAATTTTTTGCTAATGCATTTGTGGTACCTTTGGTGGCCTTGTCAAATTGGACAAGCTGTTTTTTTTTTTACATACTAGCTGACCCGGCGAACTTCGTACCGCCTAACAGTCGATTCTTTATTTTTTACATACTTACTCTGCTATTCGGGACACCAGGTCAGATAGTAAAATAAAAAAAGGAAAAAGAAAGTAGATAAGTCACAATTACATTAAGTCAAAAAATAAAATTTATAATTGTTTTGCCTTCCCGGAACCCCTCCACTAATATTTAAACTTTATGATATAGTATTAAAGTTCAAATTGACTTTTAAGTATTATTACGAATGTTTTGTATGGGAATATAGAAAAGTGTTGTTTTTATACTTTTTCAGGCAATTTTTTAAATTTTTCTCACTGCAGGAACCATCTTCGTATTTCAAGGAATATTATAAAAAAAGAATTAGCGAAATCGGTACAGCTGCTTTCGAGATTAGCGCTTAGCAACACATTCAGCGATTCATTTTTAATATTATAGATAGATAATCTAGGCATTCATTCTGTAACGTATATATAGGGACACTCGAATTAAAAACCTAATAAATTACAGTTTTTTATTAATTGCATATGAAAGCAAATACGGTACTGTACACGCCCCTAGCTGCCCCAACCAAGGCTGACGGGATTAGGGCCCATGAGTAATCCCATCGACGAGCAGCAGAGGGACGGGGCCAGAATATGGCCACGTGGAAATTCCTAATTACAATAAACCAGATGAGAGGACGCTAGAAAGACATAGTACTTACCATTATCCGAAGCTAACTTCGCACCAAGGCTTGGGCAGGCCGTGAGTGTGTGTAATAGTGGATGGCGAGTAGTGTACAGTGAGGTGTGAATGTGTGGGGCCTTGTCAAGCATAGGCGACCAGCCGCTGCCGAGTTCCAGGCTGTTCCAAAATGCTGCACCGCTTCAGACTGCTTCGGCGCCGGACCACAGTCACTTTCCTCTTTCGTCACGATGACAGTCAATTAACTCTATCGTACGATTAACTAACTTACAGAAGCCACTAACTATCGCTGGGTATAAGGTTAACGCACAAAACGCACACGGAGTTTCTGGATCAAAGGTCACTACCGTTTCGCGTTGCAACAGTTAGTTCTAGAATATCAGAGGCCGCACTAGCTAATATTGCCGAATGCACTTATACAGATTCTGAGTCAGACACAATGTGTCCCGGGGAAGCTCTCCAGTAACGATGTGCGCCACAAATCCTAGACCGTATTTTTACTGTCCGCGCCGAGTTCCCGACAAAAATGACAGCGTGCCAATCGTTAGCACTGCTTAAAGACGACTGACTGCCCTTGGGCGTTTTACGCACGACCGAATGTCAAACCGGTATGACACTGAGCCGCGCTCCCTCTCGCGTTCGTTCCTGAAATTAGCGTTTAGCGCGAACAGGTACTTATAACTAAAATACAATTTTTAAAATTTTTGTCTGTCTGTCGGTCTGTCTGTCTGTTTGTTGCGGCTAATCTCCGAAACGGCTGGACCGATTTTGACAGGACTTTAACTGGCAGGTAGCTGATTTATAAGGAGTAACTTAGGCTACTTTTAGTTTGGAAAATTATTAGGTTTCCGCGCAAAAACATAAAAACCCTAACACGCGAGCGAAGCCGCGGGGAACAGCTAGTTTACATTATATTTAGCAGCATAATGCTATTGCTTGGTATGGATAGTGTAGAGAAGCGGGGATTGTTTTTACTAGAAACTAGCATTCCACCTTAGTCTTCACGGGCGACAGTATCCACGCACTACCTGAAGTATTTTTATAATAAAAAAATAAAAAAAAATAAAGTTTGTTACTGTTTGATAGGATTGACCAGGGCGTGCCCGATATGGAAGTGCCAGAAATGGGTCTGCTGCGGTCCTGTTTTGCCTTCTCGCGCTCAGCTTTCTCCCGCCCGGCCGCCCGGCGCGCCGCCTCGGCTGCCGCTGCGGCCGCCGCGGCCTGCGCCTCCGCGTGCGCTTCCACGTCGATCACTGTACACCAAATTAACATTCAATCAAATCAAATCAAATCAGATCATTTTGTGAACATAGGTTAATTTACAGATCTCGATTTATGTACATAATAAAACATAAGGCATACAAAATATAAAATTATCAACTGGAACATTCATAAAGTTAACAACTTGATTATTATTGAATTAAAGTCCACTACACAAGAATTAGCTGCAATCCAAAAAGAAATGTTATTTTAAAATACAACAACATTAATAAAATGATTGTATTATTTATTTTTTGTTAGTTAACGTATTAAACTTAACAAACTCCTTTACATAACATATAACATTTAACTTAGATAATATATTTTAATTTTCTTTTTTTTACAGTTTTTTAATAAACTGTTTTGACATTAATTTTTTTAATTTTTTAATAAGGATATTAACGGATAGAACCATGAAGTGAATTGGCCTCAATATGCACTATTTTGTAGTACGACCTACTCCGATACTGGTGATATTGATATCTCTTAGGAATCAAATATTGTAGGCATTCATTATTTTGATTCCACAACATATTACTTGGGTGTCAAAAAGTATTTGTTAGATTAGTTGTCACACAATTTTTATATATTTTGCTATGTATATAATTTATATATAATATTATGCATATATTAAATAATTTTGGATATGCAAATTTATGTGTGGGTATGTGTATTATTTTGTTTTATATTTAATTACTATATTATATCTTTTAACATTTTACACACTTAATTCATATTTTTATCTCTGCATCAGCCAAAGCTTGACTGGTAAAATTATCTCAGGCATTAAGTCCACCTATACATCATGTTGTATGAAATTAAATAAATTATGTTAATTTGATAATGATTTATGTTGTACGAAGTTAAACAAATTATGTTAATTTGATAATGATTTCATATGTGTATGCAAATTGAATGTCCATCATCAAAATACACTACGTCAGAAGGGGTCGTGACGGAAAAATCTTACACTTTTTGTCGCCTAACCCCCATCCGCCAAATTCGTACCGTCCGATAAGGAACTTCGTTCCAAAAAAACAAGACTAAAACCATTTTTTTTCTGTAAGCATTGTATGGTGCAACTGTACTGCCCAAGATGGCCACTCCGAGTGGGCTTGGCGAACCCACTTCGGATGTGTGTCGGTGGTGGTGGGCTGCGGTGAGAGGGGTGTCCTCTCCCCCTAACGCTGCAGCCGAGGTGAAGTCGCGGAAGAGGAGGAGTGTTGGGTATAGCGATGCGCCACTCGCACTATCCTCCGCGACTCTGACGGGCCCGCACCGTTGATGCGGTGGTGGTGGGGCCGCGGGGGGAGAGGAGTGTCGGTATTGCGAGGCGCCACTCTCCCTGCCGTTCGGCGCCGAAACGTCATTAGCGGCGGAGCCAGAGACCAGATCCGCCGTTGGGGTTGGGAAAGCGGGTGCTACTAAGCTGAACGATTTTCCTGGCACCATGGCCTCCGCGTATCGGACTCGGGGGGGTCCTATACGTAGGTGGAGTTGGAGGCTGTGGAGGGGGGCGTGCCTTGTGTTCCTGGTGCGCCTTGCCTGAGAAGAAGAATAGGGAGGAGAGGTGGTCCTCCCCCGAGAAGGGGCTGCCATGGGGCGGCCGGCGCTGGTGGCGTCGCGAATGTGTGCGAAAGCGTTCCCGTGGCCCTGCCAATATGCGGCGAAGGTGGAACACCATGGGATTTTATTCAGTGCGAGTCCGATATAACCCGTCCTTGCTCCCGCAAGGCGGGTATACGTAGGCATTTCCCCATATAAAAAAAGATCATAAGGTCCCGGGTTCAAAAGCCTAGTCGAAAAAAATCATCTATTGAGTTTTTCTGCTGCCCGAAGTCAGAGAGTCGGCGGTGTTTCATCTCCATGGCTCGGAAAGCACGTAAAACCGTTGTTTTTTTGCCTATCTTTCGCAGATCGTGTCGGATTATGTCCCATCGGATTATATCTCTTATCATCACATGTATGTAGCACCGTTTAAACTCTATATGCATTAACTTACCTTCCACCTTACTGTCGTTGTCCAAATCAATTGTCTCTATCTTCTTTTCAGGCACTTCTCCCTTTTCCGCAACAATCTTTGCTTGCAGCTCTGTTTAAATAAAATTTTCGAATAAACTATATTATATGTGAACATCAAAAATTGTCATATGTATTTTAGAGGAGAATAAAACTTATTTCATTCGAACTGTATTAAGATGTGCATGAAACAAAACAAGTGGTAAACTTAAAAATTTTGTACACCCAACTTCAATATGAATATAATTTATTGTAGATTTTTTTAAAGCCACCCGATCGATTTCAATAAAATTTTAATCCCACCTGGGAAGCATACCGTTTGAAACAAGGAAAGAATTTTGCAAATCGGTTTAGGCGTATTCGAGTAATCGGTGAACATACATAAAAAAAAGATTCCGACGAATTGGTAACCTCCTCCTTTTTTGAAAAAAAAGGAAAAAATGTGTTTTTGATAATTTTGTAGGCATTTTCATCACGCTCATAACTGTATGCTGGTTAATGAATACAGCCGACCGTTAACATCAGAACAAAGAATACTGCCTGTTGGATGTGGCTTCTGTTGTTGTAGGATCTTCTTAATCCTCAATCCGCCTATAAGTGTATGATTCTTTTTGACTTTGTGTTTGACTCACCCTCAAGCTGCTGCAAGGGTACCGGCTTCACCCACACTGATTCCTGCTTGCTCGAGTTATAGTAGTAGAGTCGATCATTCGGGGCTCTGTGGGTTGTCCACTTCGCTGCCTGGGCGGCTAGTTCTGGAGGGATCACCTGTGTAACAATTTGGGTTTTATCACAATTCGGACAGATACACCACCCCCTTCTAATCACCAATTCGTAAACAATCCAGAGCTGCACATGGCAATATTAGATTGCAGATAACTCACACCATTGTCCATTGTTTCTATTCAAAGGCCAGGATAATATGGGATGGATTTATCACCATCTATTGGAAACACCAAGATCTTTCTGGCATTTCCCTTATGCCCGGTTCCTATATTCATAAAAGATTTCATTCTAAGTTACCATTGTTTTTCATAAAATAAGTGCCTGTGAAAATTGTTTCTATTAAAAAAAAATTTTTTTACATTAACTTACATGTTAAAACTTAAAATGAAACCAAATTTAAGTAGTGTAAGGTGTTAAACAAACCTAATCATACATTGTAAAACCCAAGCCCAACAGATCATTAGGGTTTTCTCCCATATTGTGGAGGCAGTTTACTAACATAAAGTGCACAAGGACAAACATCAAGACCCGGAACAATTATTTGTAGGCCATAGAAATACTTGTTCCGTGCGAAGACATGCAGAAAGTTGATGAAAGTTAGTGAGTTTGTGGCATTTTTTGAGAGATAGGCCTCCCTTATAGAATAGTACAGTAATTAAATTTTAAAGGGCTGTAATGACATACTAAATGGTCTAAAATAGGTCGTAAGGAAGAACCCAATGATATTAAGACAGTAATCAAGCATTGGCACGCAGGAAGTCGATGGATGCAGGTGGCCCAGGATCATGCTTTGTTGCATTCCTTGGGGGAGGCCTAGGTTCAGCAGTAGACTTGTGAAGGAATGATGATAAATGATGAATATAGCATTAATCAACTTTTACCATACTTATGGGATTATAAACTACTGACCCGCCCTGGCTATACCTGGATAGGATCTATTAATGTGGCATTATTTAAATTTAAGGTGATATGATCAAAGACCATTTATTTTTTCTATTTTTCGATTTCTCATAAAATATCTGTTTTTCGGATATATAGACTAGATCACTCCCGGAATTGCTCTCTATCTGTTCCTGAAGTTTCCTTACAATCGGTTCAACCATACCAAGCTTAATATTGTGTAAGAATATACACTACCCCATATCATCCTGTGGGTGTCATAAGAGGCCACAGAAGGAAATTAATCAGGAGATAGGCAACAGCGTCTTCCTAATAACAACTAAAAATAAAAAACTGTGGTTGCCAACCCGCTTGCTAAGCGTGACAACTATGGCAAATATCTCCCTTATAAGGCAATCTAAGGAAGGCCTATGTTCAGTAGTGGATAGGCTGTAATGGATACCAAGATTAGCCCAGACAGAGACAAAAATTAAAAAAAAAAATGGTTATTCGTGTCTTAATGCCATGCAAATAAACTAGATAGACACTAGATTTGCACTCAATAAAGTCAGACAGACAATTCATTTTTATTTATATGTATAAAGATCGGTACTGAGACTGTAAGTATCTCTTACAATCTATGATTTTCAGACTGACTCATCGCCAGTAACAATTTTTTTTTTATAGGATAAGGGTGACAAACGAGCACACAGTCCACCTGATGGTAAGTGGTTGCTGTGGCCCATAGACATCTACATCTATCTTCGATTATGAATCAAAATGCAGATGCGTTGTCACCCGTGAGGACTAAGATGGAATGCCTGTTTTCCAGTAAAAAGGGTCTCCGGTTCTCTACACTTACCATACGAAACACAGCAGTGTTAAGCTGCTATTTTACATATATATATATATAAATTTATGAAGAAATAAAGATAGCAACTCACTGTCTCTTCCTTCTTGGCTACAGGTTGCACTACAGGTTCAACTATATTAGGTTCAGCTATCGTCACTCGTGTGGTCACCATTTGTGGCATTTGTGTTGCTGCACCTGAAATTAAAATAAAGCCTTGATATCTCAAAGGCAAAGCAGTCACTCAAAAACTTACTACTCGCACTGATAAAGAATACGATTATACTATTTTATTAATTAATTAGGAGAATTCTAAACAATAACTCATATGATAAACAAACAAAAACGGTTCACATGATGGTAAGTGAACGCTGTGTCACATGTACATCTATATCCTCGATTAAAATCAATATGCAGATGCATTGTCACCCACTACTACTAAGACTAAGATGAAACGTAATGTTTCCATCAAAAAGGGTCTCGGTTTTTTACGTTTACAATACAAATACCAGCAACATTAAGCTGCTATTTCCCACTGGTATTATGCGAGTGTAATCCATGAAGCAAATACAAAGAGGAGACGGCATAAGCAACTGTGCACTGTGATTCTAAGTAGGTCCTGACGTCATCATAGTGGGCGTGGCTTTAGTTAGTATACTGTCAGCATTCGTCCTGTGCGCTTATGTGTTGAAAAAATCGCAAATCGGTGTATTTTCGTACTATTAAGAAGAAAAGGATGAAGTGTTGTGTTTTATCGTGTAAAAACTACTCAGATAGACGCTCTGATGTTATGGATGGCTTCATATTTCATTTGTAAATCATTTTACACCTAATTTATTAAAATAGTTCTAGAAAAATTTCTTTGCGTCGGCTTTCAAATATAATTAAATATATTCGACACTAGATGGTGACACTTTATGTCATGTGAACTAAAAATATAAAGGTCCGTAGAGCTCAGTATTGGTAAAATAATCATACAATGGTGCTGAAATTTGTTTTGCATTCAGACAAAGAAATTTTAATCGCAAAATATTATTTTTATAGTTGATAATCATTTTGAGAACAGGCCGTATTCTCGCGAAGTAAACCTCATATAAATAACAAAAAAAACAGGGCCGTAATAAGAATTCAATTATTTTACCTAGTAATCCAACTTTCATTATTAAAATGAAGGAAATTGTACTTAGGCTGATTTTTACGAAATGTTTAAGTTATATTTAAGTGACATTCTACATGCAAAGAATCACTTAAATACAATTTAATGTTCTTAGATTGGCATTCAAAAAGTGCATTCCGATGCCTAATTTGGAATAAAATATTTATATTTTAATTGATTTGTAAATAAAATTATATTAATTATAATAATTTGTCTATTATTTGTTCTCCCTCAGAGATATTAAGTAGTATAACCCACACATAAATAATAGTCCAGCCGTTTCTGCGTGAAAAAATTACACATACACAGCACATACTTCATGGCAATAAACAAAAACTACCCCCTGAAAATATTAAAGAATTGATAATAGATGATCATAAAATTACAGATCCTCAGCAAATAGCAGAATCGTTCAATAATTACTATGCAGATTTGGTTAAAGATCAAAATATAAATAATCCCCCCAAAAAGCAAACATGCACGTATAACTCATCATATTCCTTTTTCTTAAGTCCCACTGATCCCTATGACATCTCTTCTATCATAAATAATTTAAAAAACACTAAAAGTACTGGGTTTGATGACATTTGTGTATCAGTGTTAAAATATGTTTGTTCTAGTATTGCGCCCATACTTAGCCCATACATAATTAATTTATGTTTTGAACAGGGTATTTTTCCATCAGCATTAAAGACTACAATAATTAAACCCCTCCATAAAAAAAGAAGCTAAATCCGATATTAAGAATTTTAGACCAATAGCCCTAACTTCTACATTTTCTAAAATAATTGAAAAGGCTATATATAATAAATTATATAATTACTTCGAACGGAACAATATCTTTACCGCTGATCAAAAAGGATTCCGAAAGAATATGTCAGTAAGCCTAGCTATCTATGATATATAATATATATAAACACTCACGCCTGTCACCCAGAGGGGTAGGCAGAGACTACGGACTTCCATTTGGCGCGATCCTGACACACCTCTCTCGCCTCTTTTACATCCATATATCTACGCATACACGCTCGTCGGTTAAGGGTACTCCTAATCTGGCCCATTTTTAATGTATCGCCGATTTGGTCGATAAACCTTCGTCTAGGGCGTCCCTTCCCGACCCTGCCGTTCACTTCCGCAACATAAATTTGCTTTGTCACTCTTTCCTCGTTTATTCTTTCTACATGACCAAACCACCGAAGCATTCCTTTCTTAATCCTTGTCACAACGTCATCTTGCAAACCACACTTTTCTCTTATCACACTATTTCTCACCCTGTCATTCAGATTCAGCCCTAGCATACTCCTTAAGGAACGCATTTCTACAGCATTTATTCTACTCTCATGCTTCTTCTGCCAGACCCAACTTTCACTACCATACATTAAAGTAGGGACTAACACAGCATTATGAATTGCCATACGTGCCTTAGTTGACACATTCTGACTCCTCATAATAGCGTGTAGAGCCCCATTCACTCTATTTCCTGCGTTCACTCGTCGTTCTATATCCTTATCATATCTACCATCCCTGCTAAATAAACATCCCAAATATACAAACTCATCTACTTGCTCAATCAACTCCCCTTCTATTCTTATTTCACATAAAGTTTTACTTTCTTCTCTTTCAAAAACCATCACTTTCGTCTTACTTGCGTTCACTTTCATACCCCTTTCTTTCAATGACCAATTCATTAAAGTAACCATCATTTGCAACTCGTCCGCCGACGATGCAAATATGACTTGATCATCGGCGTACAAAAGGCATTTGACGGTTGACTCACCCATTCTCAACCCACATTCTTCAACTTTCAAAGTTTGCAAACAACTGTCCATAAATAAGTTAAACAGCCACGGGGAAGCCACACATCCCTGTCTGACACCTTTATGAATGCCAAACCAGTCCGAGTAGACCCCGTTGATCCTGACACAAGCACTAGAGTCCCTATAAAGAGATCTTAATGCCTGTATCAAGCCTATCTATGAATTTTTAAGTATGATATACCCAAGAGTGGATGCTAGACAACCTTCTTATGCCTTGTTCATGGATATGTCAAAGGCCTTTGACTTTGTGGATCATGCAAAACTTTTAAATAAACTTGATATATACGGTGTAAGGGGCAATACTCTCGATTTATTAAATTCGTACCTCAGTGAAAGAACTCAAATCACGGAAATAAGCAAAATTTGTTCCAAACATAAAAATGAAATACATTATAGATCCAGTCCTAGAAGAGTTAAATTTGGTGTTCCACAAGTGTTCTGGGGCCACTACTTTTTATTATTTATATAAATGACCTACCTAAATCTACTAAGAATCGGATGATATTGTTTGCAGATGACTGTACAGTTATTTATAATCATGAAAACGCCATAAATAGTACCTTAAAGTCAATAACTGAGTGGCTACAAAACAATAATTTAATAATGAATATAGATAAAACTAAGATAATGCAATTCAAACAAAAAACTAAATATAGTTTTAATACACAAATTCAATATAATGACAAAGAAGTCCAAATAACAACAACTACAAGGTTTCTTGGCGTTCACATTGATGAAAATCTGAAATGGCAAAGCCATATAGAATTCGTATGCAAAAAAGTGACACAGTCGTCTTATAACCTATATATGCTAGCAAAAAAAGTCAGTCTCCCCACATTACTTGTGGCTTATCATGGTTATGTTGCGTCCAGGCTTAGATATGGAATAATATTTTGGGGAAACGCCACTAACTGGGATAAAGTATTTAAATCTCAAAAAATGTGTATACGTGCTATGTGTGGTTTAAAAAGAACTGTTAGCTGTAAAGATTATTTCATGAAATTAAAACTACTTACCGTACCATCACTATACATATTTGAAATAGCTTTATTTATCAGGCAATATCCATCACTATTTAAATTAGAGATTTCGAGATTTCGCAATAGAAGCAGATTATATGACAACCTTGGTAGAACATATAAAACTACCTTGTATGGAAAGAGTGTGTTTGCTATGGCTCCAAAGATATACAATAAGATTCCGAATAACATCAAAGACTGTAACGATATACAGATTTTCAAAGATAAATTGTTCCACTTTCTAATTGAGCATTCATTTTATTCGATCGATGAATTTTTTGCCGAGTGTCAGAAATAATAAAAGTCTAACAAATACTACATAATTTTATCAAAATTAAAGTTATACATAAATTAGAAATATTTTTATAATTTAAATGAATGTTTGGATACAAATATTATTTAATTTGATTTTCTATAATGTAATTATAATTATTATTATCATTGTTCTTTCTTTGACATGACAATGTGATTGTTAATTTAATTAATTTATTGATGTAATGTAATAATATAATTTAATATTTTATAATTGCTACGCCCAAACCGGGTTTCAAATGCGGACTATTTTTTAAAAACACATCTATTGTTACCATTTGATTGCAATAAAGATTATGAATTATGAATTATACTTAGTGTGGAATAAGCTCAAGGAGACAGAAAGAACACACAAACTTTCGCTTTTATATTAGTGAGATAAGTAGGATATTTAGTCCAAAATTAAATATCCTACTTAATATTGAACATAGAATATTTAGTTTCAAAGAGACTTTATTTTACCAAGGATAAAATAAATATTTCTTGAAGGTTTGACTTTCACGAAATGATAAAAATATTTAAATTGTATTTAAGTGATTCTTTGCATATAGAATGTCATTTAAATATAACTCAAACATATCGTAAAAATCAGCCAAGTACAATTTCCTTCATTTTAATATTGAATATTGGGTTACTGGGTAAAATAATTGAATTCTAATTACGGCCGTCTTTTTGTTTTTTTAAGAGGTTTACTTGACAATAGATGGCGGCCTGTTCACAAAATTATTATGAAAACTATAAAAATAATATTTTGGCGATTAAAATTTCTTTGTCTGAATGTATTTGCTTCATGAGATAGACGCTCCGATGCTATGGATGGCATCACATTTCATTTGTAAGTAATTTTACACCTAAATTATTAAAATAGTTCTAGAAAAATCTCTGCGTCGGCTT